CAACAGCCAGAAATCAAGAAACATTAAATTAGAATATATATACAGTATACAGTGCCTTGCGAAAGTATTCGGCCCCCTTGAACTTTTCAACCTTTTGCCACATTTCAGGCTTCAAACATAAAGATATAAATTTTTTATTTTATGTGAAGAATCACCAACAAGTGGGACACAATTGTGAAGTGGAACGAAATCTATTGGATTTTTGAAACTTTTTTAACTAATAAAAAAATGAAAAGTGGGGCCTGCAAAATTATTCGGCCCCCTTGCGTTTATACTTTGTAGAGCCACCTTTTGCTGCGATTACAGCTGCAAGTCGCTTGGGGTATGTCTCTATCAGTTTTGCACATCGAGAGACTGAAATTCTTGCCCATTCTTCCTTGCAAAACAGCTCGAGCTCAGTGAGGTTGGATGGAGAGCGTTTGTGAACAGCAGTTTTCAGCTCTTTCCACAGATTCTTGATTGGATTCAGGTCTGGACTTTGACTTGGCCATTCAAACACCTGGATACGTTTATTTGTGAACCATTCCTTTGTAGATTTTGCTGTATGTTTGGGATCATTGTCTTGTTGGAAGATAAATCTCCGTCCCAGTTTCAGGTCTTTTGCAGACTCCAACAGGTTTTCATCCAGAATGGTCCTGTATTTGGCTGCATCCATCTTCCCCTCAATTTTAACCATCTTCCCTGTCCCTGCTGAAGAAAAGCAGGCCCAAACCATGATGCTCCCACCACCATGTTTGACAGTGGGGATGGTGTGTTGAGGGTGATGAGCTGTGTTGCTTTTACGCCAAACATATCGTTTTGCATTGTGGCCAAAAAGTTCGATTTTGGTTTCATCTGACCAGAGCACCTTCTTCCACATGTTTGGGGTGTCTCCCAGGTGGCTTGTGGCAAACTTTAGACGAGACTTTTTATGGATATCTTTGAGAAATGGCTTTCTTTTTGCCACTCTTCCATAAAGGCCACTTTGTGCAGTGTAAGACTGATTGTTGTCCTATGGACAGACTCTCCCACCTCAGCTGTAGTTCTCTGCAGTTCATCCAGAGTGATCATGGGCCTCTTGGCTGCATCTCTGATCAGTCTTCTCCTTGTCTGAGCTGAAAGTTTAGAGGGACGGCCAGGTCTTGGTAGATTTGCAGTGGTCTGATACTCCTTCCATTTCAAGATGATCGCTTGCACAGTGCTCCTTGGGATGTTTGAAGCTTGGGAAATCTTTTTGTATCCAAATCCGGCTTTAAACTTCTCCACAACAGTATTACGGACCTGCCTGGTGTGTTCCTTGGTCTTCATGATGCTCTCTGCGCTTTCAACAGAACCTTGAGACTATCACAGAGCAGGTGCATTTATACAGAGACTTGATTACACACAGGTGGATTCTATTTATCACCATCAGTCATTTAGGACAACATTGGATCATTCAGAGATCCTCGCTGAACTTCTGGAGTGAGTTTGCTGCACTGAAAGTAAAGGGGTCGAATAATTTTGCACGCCCAACTTTTCATTTTTTTATTAGTTAAAAAAGTTTCAAAAATCCAATAGATTTCGTTCCACTTCACAATTGTGTCCCACTTGTTGGTGATTCTTCACATAAAATAAAAAATTTATATCTTTATGTTTGAAGCCTGAAATGTGGCAAAAGGTTGAAAAGTTCAAGGGGGCCGAATACTTTCGCAAGGCACTGTATATAACATTCTGAAATGGGTTGGAATAAGTGTACACACCCCTGGATAAGTTCTTGGTGGAAGCACCTTTTGCTTGAATTACAGCCAAAATTGTCTTTGGATAGGTCTCTGCCAACTAGTTTTGGCAATGATTACCTTACATAACTGTTCAAGGTTGGTCAAATTCTGAGAGGACCATTGACAGACTGCAGCCTTCAAGTCATTTCACAGATATTCAATGGGACTGCGGTCAGGACTCTGACTAGGCCATTCGAGAACGTTTATCTTTTTGCCCTTTCACAGCTCCAATGTTGCTTTGGCTGTGCTTTGGGTCGTTGTTGTGCTCGAAAGTGAATGTCCATCCCAGTTTCAGTTGTCTTGCAGAAAGCAGCAGGGTTACTTCAAGGACTTTTCTGTACTTTGCTCCAGTCATTTTTCCTTCTATCCTGACAAGTTCCTGTTCCCTGCCAATGAGAAATTTTGCATAACACACAGTATATTATTTGGGTGATGTGCTGTGTTTGGTTTGTGCCAAACATAATCAGAATGTACTTTAGAATCAGAATCTACTTTATTGTCCACATACTGTACAGTGGATATTTCCATTCTGGTTCAAACCAGTTCTGTATGTACATCCTATAAAATACTGCAACGTTAGCAGAAAAAGATGTAAAAAAGTTCAAAAAGACCTCCTCAATAATGGAGACTTGATGGTGCCCATCTGTGCTATTTATCATGAAATGTACAGCTTCATACAGTTTTACAATGTCTTTTATAAGTTTGGTCTCTTTTGCCACATTCAAGGCAAAAAAGATCTTTAATAACACTTAATTCAAACTGAAATAATAGGCCTTGTCCTACAATAGTGTGTGCTGTCAATGCAGTGCTGCAAAGGGGAACTCATCAGAGTTTAAAAAGTAACAGCACTCAGAATAAATGACTTCTTTGTTTTTTGTATCCTTTGGTACTTAGAACCCTCATCCGAATGGTCAACAAAAAGTTCTATTTTAGTTTTGTCAGACCTCAAAACATTTTTCCAGGTGTTTGCAGTATCACTTTAATGCTTTGTTGCTATTGTCGTAAGTGAAGACTTCCTTCTTGTCCTCCTGCCATACAAGCCAGACCTGTGGAGCACTTACAGTAGGATATTGTTGTCACATGCAAACTTTGTGTAGTCTTGACCATAAAAGCGTGCAGCTCTTTCACTTCTTTAACAAACATCTTGACTGTTCTCCAAGAGATATTTGAAGTCTTTGAGTCTTTTTACAGTATATACTGTACATCCTGTGCTTTCTGCCTCCATAGCCTTATCCTGGAGGTCTTTTGACAGCTCCTTGCTGTCCATAGATGACGTTTTACTTTGAGATGCACTATCCAGCAGACGAGACTTATAGCAACAGCTGATTTTATTGAGAAATCTTCAGAATCATTAGAATTCAATACAGGTGGAGACTAATTAGGCTGTTGTGTGATTTCGAAGGCAATTGTTTAGCAGAGGTAGTTTACAATTGGTCTTACTCAGGGGAGTGTATACTTATCCACCCATTTTTCTAGATTTTTATTTCTAATTACTTTTCAAAATGTGTTGAGCATTTGTTTTGCACTTGGAGGCTGTGTAAAGGTAAAATATATTCTGATATCTACATTAGATAATTTCTGATAATGTGTCTTGCTTTCAGGCTGGTACTGTAGGTCACAAAACATATTACTATGGAAAGGCTGTGTAGATTTTTTATAGTCTAGTAGAAAGGTAGTGGTAGTGAAGTATGAGAGGGAACTGGGCACCACAAATTTAGGAAGTCATGTGACTTCACTGCCTGGTGTGATGGTGATTGGAAACAGTTTGAGAGAGTGTAATGAGAAATTAACTTTGAGAAAAGACTTGGGTACTTATGGAAGGACACTGTTTCATCTTCCACAAAAAGGGAGCATTGTGGACAGGACAGACAACTTGACACTTGAAAACCTAAGGTGGCATGTTGTCAGTATCAAGATGTATGAAGAGCATGGTAGAGTTTGTAGCATTGTCACAATTAGTTTCTCCCAAAACTGTACAGTTTTTTAATGTATTTTCCTTCAAACAGAATGTGCTATGATAATAAGTTCCAGCCCTTGAGGGCTGATTAATTCCCTGGTTTTTATTCTACTTCTGACCTTAATTATTTTATTGAACTAATTATTTGGATAAGAAACAGGATCAGCTCTGTTAATTAGTTGCTAATTCCAAAACAGCAAGAAAACCTACAGGGCGCTTACGGTTTAGAAAACAGAAACAACTGATGCTAAATACGTAAAGATATTATTGTGAATTAAAGGTATATTTAGATTTTGTTCAAAACAATAATTTGATTAACTGGTAGGAGGATTTGAGAGCAAGGCTGAATTTTTTACTTCATTAAATTGTCTAATTTACATATTTCCCTCATGTGCACCTACAGAAATAAATGATCAGCAGTACTTTGGAGAAACAGGCCTTCAGAAAATAGATTATTTCGAAGTGCTGTACATTTCTATCACAACCCCACATTTAAAAAGACCTTGTTTCTCAGTCATTTCCTTGAAGGATGTCTTTTTGACTGACTGTGTAATAGATTAGTGAAAAAACAAACTGACAGAAACCAGCTAGTGGCAGAAGGAGGATAAGGAAAGTGTTATTCACATATTTATGAAAAAAAGACTCAAAATGCAAATGTGACATTTTCTTTGGGCTTTCTTTGCTACAGAATACTTTTTGAGCATTTGCTTTCCAGAGGAAGAAATTAAAATTGATAGCCAACCACACAAGATTAATTACTTAATCTTAAAGCATTACATTTTGTGAAGGACAGAAACAAGCTTGATGCATGTGGCTGTTTAATCGAAATATTTCCATAATTGTACACTCTTAATGATACTCATGAGTTCTGGACCCTAAACAAGCTGTCTTGTTTTGTGTATTCATGTATTTCCTACACTGAGACCATAAACCTTAGCAAACAAATACAACACTGAATACTCAATTCCCTCCCATCTCAGATGTTTGACATTTCCAGTTGGTGCCTGTTTTAAAGCCTTAAAAAGATCAACAACAGAAATAATAACAGGGAAATGGTGCTAAAAGGCCACTTCAATATTTGTCTTTGAAGTGTTATGTGACAGTATTTCAGGACAATGCAAGTTTTTCATATCTAGTGTGTCAGTGGACCAAGAAGAATAATAAGATTTTTTAAATCTTTAAATTACAAAACCTTGGATATTTTGTCAAATTAATGACACTCAATTCAATCCTATTTTAGTAGTTTAGAATATACTTCTTTCATGATTTTTGTCAGTCTGTCCCTGGCTCTTATTTTATCCTTACAGATTGAATGTTCCAGTATATCTGACTACTCAGAGAAAATCATCAAAGCCAATCATCTAGACAGTGGTAAGTGTTACATTTTTACATTCACTCTTCCTTATATAAGATACATTTGTAATGTAGTGTGCTTTCTGAAGGCACCAGTTCTGTAGGGTTTGGGCATTTACTGGGACAATTATTAATTGTAGCAGTAAATCACGAAATTGATTCTTTTGATGGCTTTAGAATCCAACCATGCGACATAACTCAAACAAC